AGAGGTTTGGGGGCAAAGTGGCAGGGTGAGGCCTGGCTTCTGGGAAAGCCTTGGCAACTCTCAGGTCTGTCCCTGAGGCCGCCGGGAGAACTAGGCTCTTCCCGCCAGCTGCATCCCTGCCCCCGCAGCCCTGCGTGGCCGCCAAACCCCTCACCCTCACCCTCACCCACCACAGCAGCCCCTCCTCTGTGCGGTCCGGGGCGTCCTGCACAAGGCCCCAGGCTTGTGAAGCAGGGGAGGGAGAGGAGGGCAGAATACCGTCATCCTGAGCAGGTGAGGCACAGGGCCCTCCCACCCAAGCGGCTTCTGGGAGGTGACACCACCACCCACCCACCTGCCCACCCACCCATGGCTTTTCCTTGGCACACGACAGCAAACATTTGCAAGTGGCTGGCAGGGACCCCATGACCTGTGGCCACTTTGAAGCCCCCTGGCCCAGGGCACGGGTGCGAGTGGGCTGGGAAATACCCACTCTATACAAGCCACACTCCAGGCGCACACCAAGCCTGCCGCCTCAGGGTGGCCCAAGTCACGGCCTTGGGCCCGGTGTGGACAGAGACAAGCCGAGCTGGCCCAGACACCCAGACCCTGCAACAGAGCAGGGGCCAACGTGAGCCGTGTGCGCTGTGACCACCACAAGCTGGAACCACCAATTGCCACAATTACATGGGTGGTAAATCGGAACCCGTTCTTGAGGTCTATGGGAGGTTTTCTTCTCTCTGCTTTCTCCACTGTTTGGACGCCCTGAGACGGATCAAGCAGGGTCTCTGTGCAGCTAAAATGGGGCAGACCCCACCAATCCTCAGCAAATGAAGCTCCCCTGGGCCCCTCCTCAAGTGTCACTTCCTGATACTCCAGCTGCCAACAGACTCATCCCCAGAAGAAAAGTGGAGGAAGGGAGGCGAGAGGCAGAGAGGTGGGGAGCACAGAAAGGGGGGGGGGGGTCACACGGTGCCCCCAAGGGGCCACCTGGCCCACCCCCCCCCACCAAAGTCTGACTCGGGGTGAACCGGGCAGGAGGGTTGGAGGGCAGGGGAGCCCGGGAGGGGAGGCCGAGGGAAAGGCAGAGGGGAGGCAGCAGGAGGAGGAGTCGGGCAAGATCTTCATAATGCTCAGTCCCCAAGGCCCAAGGCACCAGCGGCCACACGGCTGCTGAACAATGCAGTTTTGAATTCAATTAAAGCGATTATCTGTTGTGCCAAATAAATTGTGTACAGCATATAGCCTGCGGCACTTACACCTCCGGGCTCATTATTCCCTAACTGTTTCCTCCTGTTTATGCGCTCTCAAATTAAATTGCTGATAATATGCGCCAAAATAAAAAATGAGCACACCTTGTCCCAAGAAAATTGATTCTCCCTTTTCCTGAACTGGCGATTGCCAGGTTTTATATACTCTGTTCCTGGTGATCATTAGTAATTCAATTTTCTTTTTATTAGCCCCCTTATCTGCTGAGCAATATAGTGGCAGAGCTGACCTCTTTCGCACGGGTAAATGTTTAAAATCTTTTCCCTGATTAATTTTGCCAGTTAAGAAAAAGAGGAGAAATGGCCCGGCTCTTAGCCATCACAATGAATAAAGCTTAATGTTGATTGTGATGGAATTTCTAATGCCAGGGAAATTGATTGAACGCGGCAATTACACTGCAATAGTAACTCAAGGGAGATGGGATCGCTTTCTCCTGGCCGTAGCCTTTTGGTTATTTAAAACAATCCAATTTGCAAGGATAATTATGTATTAGTGTTTTATCTGCCACTTGAAATGAACAGGGGAGTTTCGATACTGGCCTAGCATTAGCAGGTTATTGCTGCAAATTACTTGATATCTGCTTTCTTTCACATAAAGAGGAAATTAGGCAATCAATTACCAGAAAAAGGTGGACGGAGGAATAAGAGGGGCAAGGACGCCCTCTGCTGGCCACCAGGCCGTTGGGCAGGGCTGAAGAAGGGACCTTGGTGGGGGCGGGCAGCTTCAGGAAGCCTGACCCTTGTCCTCACTCCGTCCCCGCACTCCCCCGCACTCGGCAGGAGCCCACAGGGGCTCAGGTACCTCCCCTACACTGCTCCAAGGAAGTCTGGACCTGAGCCAATGGTCTGTGTGGGGAAACGGGGAAGGGAACCCTCAAAGCGGCCTGTCCACCACAGGAAGGCACGGCCGGAGGGCTCCGAGCCCGAGCCCAGGGTCTGCACTCCAAACGCCCACGGCCATAAATGGAAACTTGTGTGTGAGGCAGCTCACGGTTGGCCTGGGGACAGGCAGGTGCAGCAGGGGAAGGAGGGACACAAGAGAGGGAAGCCTGTGGACCTTGCAGAAGAAGGTGCTTGGGGGAGCCACCCACTGACTCCCTGGTAGTCTTCCAACCAGGGGAATGCTCGTCCCCACTCCTGGTCCCACCACAACCTCCTGGGCCAGCCTCCAGGTCGCAGGGTGGCATGTCTGGAGCCACGTGCCCAGCGTTTTAGGCCCGTGCACCAGCATCTTCCCTGAGCTTCCTGCCCACTTCTGAGAATGAGGACCCCACTCCTTGACCTGGCCACAGGCTCTTCCTGGCTCACTGCCCCTCCAGGCCTGCCGGACACTCCTGGGGCCCCCAACACAGCCACCTCGCATCCCCGAGCATCTTCATGCAGGTCCCATGGAGGTCCCATGTCACCGCCCCCTGCCTTACGGAGGCCTGCCCCGCCCGCCCATCATCGGGTCCCGCCTTCCCTCTGGCCTCGGCCCCTCCCACCCTCAGGGAAGCCGGCCACTCGGGACCCCTCTCTGCTCCGGCAGGCAGCACGGCAGAGCTCATTCCCACCCGTGCCTGTCACCTGCGGACGGGCACAGCATTTTCGCCTGTCTTCTCCTCACGCCGGTCTGTTTGGATGTCCCCTCCTCAGAGACGCCAACCGCTTGGCTAAAGCTGACCACCCAGCCACCCCAACAGCTCTCCACCGCCTTATCCCACGTTTCCCTTTCCTCTGAGCGCTTGTACCACCTGAGAGGAGCTTTTCAGCTAGTTTACGACACCCGGTGGCTGTCTGTCTTCACGACAACGGTGCGGCTCCAGCACGTCAGGGCCCACGGGAGCCAGCACGCTGCCCTGCACAGAGGCCCTCGATGCATGCTCGCCGGATGGTTGGGGTGATGGTGAGGCATAAGCGGGGAGACGCAGGACGGTGGAAGACACATGAATGGAGGATGGCTGGCTGGAGGACGGATGGGGGATGGAGGGCAGACGGGGGGGATAAGAGGGTGCGCGGATAAACGGATAAACAGGTTGGTGGATGTTTGATGAATAGCGGATGGAAGGTGGATGGATGGATAGGCGGATGGACGAATGGACAGACAGATAGTTGGATGGATGGGGAGAGGATGGAGGGAGGGGGTGGATAAGTGGATGAGTGAGCAGAAGCTTCTCCAAGCCCCCCCCCCCCCCCCCCGCACTTTCCTGCCAGGGCAGTGGGGAGCCAGGGTTCTCCTCTAACTACAAACTTATCCGTTCGCCCCCTAGTGGAGAGAAGCGTAAAGGCAGGGACTGTGTCAGCCCCCTCCCCCCAACCCCATCTTGCCCAAAGCCTTTCTCCTCCTCTCACACAGCACTACACACCCCCACCAGCAGGAGGCAACCTCCACGTCCTCAGGCGACACCCGCTAAAGCTCTAGGTCCAGACAGAGAACGGTCATCCCAGGCCCCATAAGCAAGGTACGCAAGCATGTGGGCCTGAGCCTGTGGGCACCGCTCCAGGGTGACACACAGACCCTCCCCGCCCATAAACCCGCAGATCCAGCACCCCCGTCAGCCCCTCACTCCTCCAGGCCATTGTCCACCTGGCAGCCACAGTTGAGTGTCCTAGAACATACCGGCCTGGGTCGCTATGTGAGGGTGCCAGCTCCAGGCCACGGCCCCAGGACGCGGCCTATGTGGCCAGTGTCCTTCTCTCCCCAGAGGCCCCTCAGCCAGCAGCTCCGGTAGCAGGCCCACTGCCCGCCGGTCCATCCAGTCCGCGCCCACGGCAGCCCCCGCCCCAGCCCCCAGCCGCACAGAGTCCTCCTGCTGGGAGCAGGGAAGGGCACACGGCACACCTGACCACCTGCCTGGCAGGAAGGCTCAGCTTTGTTTGGCGGGCTCCAGAGTCGTCCGCCCCCTGCCCCGCCCAGCAAAGGGGGGTGACGCCCGGCGGATGCTCACCGGCGTTCCGGGAACCCAGCTCTGCAGAGCACTCTGGCCCCCAAGAAGGCAGGGCAGGAAGCAGGGAGCTCCCAGGCCAGCCAGAGGCAGAAACCCCAGCTTGGGTGCCGGCGGGTCTGAGAGCAGCAGGCCAGGGCGGCCCTTCCGGAGGGGCAGATCTGGGGACCAGATCACACTGTCTGCTCGCTCTCCGACCCGCTGAGGAAGGGGAGCTTGCACACGGAGGACCCAGAAAGCCGGGACCAGCTGGGCCCACTTGGGTCACAGTCAGCCACCAGCAACCAGAGCCACAGTCCCCGATTCCCCTCAGCCTCCGTTCAGAGCAAGAATCTGGAATAGCCGTGGCCACTCAACACACTGCCGCCTGTGACGGGGACATCCTTCCCCAAGGTGCCTCACACCACATCCCTGGTACTCAAGTTTCACTGAAATATCACCATCTTGAGGCCCCTGGCCCAGCCACCCAATCTCCACTTGCCCCGACCCACTCTCCTTGTGGCAAGTCACTACGGAAACGTCTTGGTGCCCGTGGGCTAGGAGGCAGGCGGCAGGGGAGTGGAAGGGACCGCCCTGCCCCATGCCTCCGAGACCCCCAGCACCCGGAGCAGGACGCAAAGGGGCCTGTGGACACAGCCAGCCCTGAGCAGCGTCCCGGTGTGACGGCTCATCTGTGGGGACAGACGTCCATCCGGACCTCCCCTCCACTCCGGCCCGAGCCACCCGCCGCCCCCCAGGCTGAGCGTCCTCGGGACGGGGAAGGTGGCTCGTAACAGGCGAGCGGAGCCGGCGCAGCTGCAGGAGATGCACCCCCTCCCCCCGGGCCTACCTTCCTTGGTGGGGGGGGTGGGCCCGGCCAGGAGGCAGGGAGCACAGCCGGTGCCTGGTGACTTGCGCCAGGCCCTTGTTGGGGTTCTTCTTCAGGACGGGGCTGCTCTTCCCCCGGGGGGCCTGCCTCCGCCGCAGGCTCAGCTGGCTCTTGGCGGTGGCGGCAGGCGGGGCGCCATTCTTCTTGTCGCAGGGAAGGCTGCAGAGACAAAGAGCAGGCAGCTCCCGATGGGCTCCCCCAGCAGGGCGGCTCTCCCCATCTACCCCTGCCCATCCAGACCCCAGCACCGTGGAATCACCCCGGAGGTCCCAGCCTGCCCGCCTTCTCAGCAGCGGCCCGTGCGCTCCTCCCCCACTTCAGAGCCCGGAGCCGGGGCAGAGGGAGAGCGGCTCCCAACCCTTGACCCCCCACCCGGTGTATCTGCACCAGGTCCCCTCGGTGTCCCTAGGCCGGATGAACTCTCCAGTGGGGCTGGGGGCTGGGGGCAGCGCTAAGGAGCCACCGCAGGGGAGGGGCCGCCACCAGCTGCCCCCAGCCACCTCTGCAGGAGAGGCTACTGCTCACAGCTCCCCTGTCCACATCAGCCGAGACAGGACGGCCACCGTCCAGAAAAGGCAGGGGACTTTTTAACTGTCTGGGAGAGCAGGGCCAAGGACCAAGGTCAGACAGCAGGAAGGACCTCCAAAGGGGACTCACAGTGAGAGTGACTCTGCCCTTGCAGTCACCAGCTGCCGTGATGAAGTCCGAACCCCAGACCAAACCTGAGCCACAACGCCATTTTTTAGCCTCTGCACGATCCTTGCAGGTGGAGGGCCAGGGAAACGACCCGTATTCAGTGAAACAGTGACTCCCCTGGTCACCTGGCTGCCAAGGAGGCAGACTTCCCGGTGCGCCCTGGGTTTGCGCAGCTAGTGCGCAGCTGGGTATAAAGCATCATCCGCAAACCCAGTGGACCCGGAACAGAAGCTGCCCCAGCAGCCTCTGGTCTGTCACTAACAGGAGATGGGAGGGCTCCCCGTCGTCACTGGCTGAGCCCCAGTTTACCCCAGTAACCCCAGCCTCATTTGCACTGGGTACAGTAACACCGCCAGCCACGCTCGGCTGGACCCGTAGCCGGTGATGCTTCATTTCCTCCTCCCACGGCCCCGCAGGTGAGCCCTCCCACACGCTCCACATGCCCAGCAGGGAGCTGCCAGGCCCAGGCCTGCCCCCCTGCCTGCCCAGACAGGACCCTGGGGTGCTGGCAGGGGCACCTACCTAGCGCCGCCCCGCCTCCGGATGATCTTGGTGCGGCTCTTCACTTTGTAAGCCGAGAGTGGGGTCTCACTGAAGAGGGGCTTCAAGCCGCTGGGTCCCACTGCCGGTCTGTCCCCTGGGGGGAGCCTAGATGGGAGCTGGGAGACATGGTCCTTGCGGCCAGCTTCCGACTGCCAACGAAAGGAGGAGGATGAGGAGGCCGAGGGGCTGGACGCCTTCCACTTGTATTTGCTGGGGGAGGCCCCGAGCGTGGAGGACGCGGACGACCTCCTGGGCTTGGCATCCGGATCAGCTCTGAGCTGTGGCTTCTCCCCCTGTGCTGCTGTGCCAAAGGGGGCCCTGCACACGGTCTCCGAGGCTGCTCTGGGACCGAGGGCCCTGCGAGTGGCCCGGGGGCTCTTGGCTGAAGCAGCCACCCACTTGTAGTTGTTCTTCCGGAACTTGCTGGTTCGACAGGACACGAGCAGTGAGGCCTCCCGGGCCTGCCTGGGTCCAGAAGCTGCTCTGGCTGGGCCTGCCACCGAGCCGGAGGAAGCCGGCTGATCTGGGTGGCCAGCATTCACTCTCCCATCTCCAAGGTGCTGGGCGACACAGCTGGCCACAGAGTGTGAGCCCACCTTCCGGCCCGGAGCCGCGCCACTGCGCTGGGGCAGGGTGGGGGACGGGAAGCGTGCCTTGGCCGCAACCGCACTCTCGCTGACAGTCCGCCGGGGCTCAGAGGGGCTGTCACTCACGCTGCTCACAGACTTTACCACCCGAGGCTTGCCAGGCTCCTTCTGGCAGACCAGAAGGGGGTCCTCTGTACTGCAGCTCCCCTTGGCTCTTCCCGGCCCTGAGGGTTGCTGCTGCCCACCAGGGGGCTCGCCCTCGCCCTCCTGAGGCCTGTGGTGGCTCCAGGAGGGGTCCTCACCTCCTTCCAAGGAATCCCGAGAGACCCCTGCAGCGCTAGCTGAGCCCGGTTTTGATGGTGGCTTGATTTTGATAACCATGTTCTGATCTGGACTCAGCTGGACCTGCCTCTCCAGGACATACTGCGCGGGGTCAGGACCCCGGCTGCCCCCAGCCCTGAGAGGTGGCTGTGCGGCACAGTCACCGGGCGGGTCTGAGGCTCCTGGGGGCCGGTTCACCAGGGAGTATTTCTTGCGCCATGCAGGCCCATGGCTCAGGGAGAAGCCCCTCCGGCCGGGACGAGGGTAGCTGGCACCGAAGGCCCTGCTGCTGTTGTAAGCAGGTGGCTGCCAGCGGGCAGCGGCCGACGTGCCCGGGGCAGGGGCGTTGCCATGGAGGTTTTTGTAGTCATCGATCAGACCTGAGAAGGCAGAATCACAGGCTCAATTAACCAGAGGCTGACAGTAAACTCAGCCAGCAGCCCAGTCCCCCGGAGGCGCGTCAGCCGACAAGACACCCCACAGACCCCACCTCCCTCGTGAGCCCCCGCCTGGCCCCAGGACAGTTCAGCCCGAATTCCCTCCGCCCATCTTTCCCATGAGCCTTTCCCATCAGTCTGCTTCCATCCTAGTCGCTTACACTGAAAACACACCCCTGTGGCTTCATGTTCCTAATCTTTCGGGAGTATTATACCGGGTCCACAATGCTTTGAGGTGAAACGTCACTTGATATGAAGAGACCAGCAAGGCCCCATGCTCTAATGCCTCAACAAGGGGGCCGGTCAGCCACGGAGGCCCTCTGGCTTGCCCACGGATGGAAAGGAGGCAGGAGTACCCCTTAATAATCCCCCCTGCCTGGCGCACGGGACAATGAGCGTAAGACAAGTGACACAGGGGTCGGCACTCCACAGTTGATGGGAATGTCACACCGTCCTCCTCTAAGGGGAGAAGAGGCCTGATTGTCTGGAGGCCCAACAGTGGATCGCGGTCCCGGGGCAGGAGGGGTACAGGTTCAGCTGGAACACCCCAGGGAGTTAGGCCTCAACCAGCAAACCAGTAGCTAAGTCCTCTGTTACAACGCTGCCCACCACAAGTCCCGTCCCCAGACCCAAGAAAAGCCATGTCCAGACCTGGTGACACTCCAGGACAGCTGTGACAGGACCAGCCCGCCTGGACTCTCCCCCATACACATTTTCCAAATCCTTAAGTCTTCTCTTCATGGGAAAACTTTAAATGCGGAAATTTTTCGGAACAGAAACCTCAACTTGGGTGTAAAAATTGAAAAGATGGGAAACTGAGGCCTGGCGAGTGGGGGCCTTGGACTATCAAGAGGACTGTGACTGTGTGGAGGGAAGAAGCCAAGACGAGGCGTCCAGGGGCTTTCCCACGCGGCACCAGGTCAAGCTCTCCACCCTACTGTGTGGCACCGAGAGCGACAGGGCGCCGAGGAAGTGCCCGCCCGTGGGGGTTGCGGGGGGGGGGGTGCCTCCCGCCGGTTACTAAGCGACGGCCCCGCCGCCACCCGCTGCAGCGCCTGAAGGACACGCACTACCCGTCCGGAGAAACGGGCAAGGGGCTGACCCCGGCCGGCCCGGATGCCCTTCCGGGTTCCCCACCGCCTCCCCGACCCTACCCACGCCCCCACCCGACCCGACCTGGCCGTCCAGACGGAGGGCGCGGAGCGACGCCCTTCGGGGAGGCGGGCAGCGGCCCGCCGTGAGGTAAGGAAGGGTAAAGAAAGGGACGCGCGACCCGGGCCCGGCCCGGCCCGGCCCGACCCGACCCACCCTGCAGGAGACGGATCTGTCGCCGTAATTGCTCCTTTTCCTCCATCTCCGGAGTCCGCGACGCCCAGCCGGGCCCCCGAGACGTCATCGCCGCGCGACTGTTTCCCCGCCGGCGGGGCGGGGCCCACGGAAGCTCCGAGCCTGCGCACTGCAGCTAGGCCAGGGCGTTGGCCGGGCTGGGAGGAACGCGCCGTCGTCCTGGCAACGCCGGCGGAAAGCCGGGGTCACGCACGCACAGGGCAAGGGGCGGGGCGACGTCAGCGCGGCGCGCCGGCCGGGGGCGCGAACGCACGGGACCGGAGACGGCCGAAGGCGGGTGGTTTGGGACCTGGTGCGGCGGCAGCTGGCTCCGGTGCTACGGCCTCTCGTTCCCTGCGGGACCAGGCGAGGAGCCGAAGTCCGGACCCCTCTTCGGCCGCAGCGCAGCTCCTTCTCCGCGTAGAATTACGCTGTGGAGGCTCTGCGGGGGGACCTGGTGGCACGAGCGCCGGAGAGGTTCTCTGTTAACGCTGCCCCGTGGGCCAGGGCAGGAGAGGAAACTCCGGAACGAGGGGTCCCTAGGCGGGGAAGCTCTGAAAACGTGAAAGATTTCGGTTTATCAGCGGGAACAAGTGCAAAACAGATGTACAAACGTTGTACGCTGCTGGGGGGTGCAAAATGGTGCAGCTGCTGGGGAAAACAATCTGGAGGTTCTTCAAAAGGTCAAAACCAGAATTACCATATGACCCAGCAGTTCCACCTTGTGTGTGTACCCACGAGGAGTGAGAGCGGGGACTCACGCCGCTGCTCCATGAAGCGCTATTCACAATGGTCAGTGGAACGGCTCAACTGTCCCCGAGGATTAAGGGATGGACAATGTGGTCTGTCCAGACAGTGGACTATGATTTAGCCTCGGAAAGGAATGTACTACTTCTCGATCCCCGTTGTGACAACGGTGGACCTCAGAATCACTTTGCTAAGTAAAATAAACGGGTCACAAAAGGACGTATGTCGTATGACTCCGCTTCTGTGAAATATCTAGACTAGGCAAATTTCTAGAGACAGTAGATTAGAGGTTACCAAGGGCTGTGGGAAGGAGGAACGGAGAGTGAAAACGTTGTGGGTACAGGGTTCTGTTTGGAACGATGAAAAAGTTCTGGAAAGAAATGATGACTGCACAATACTGTGTACTTAATGCCACTGATTGGACCCTTAGAAATAGCTGTGTGACAGCTTGTATGTTGTAATTTTTTTTTTTTTTTTACCACAATGAAATGGACAATGTGTTTGCCACAGGCCTGTGCAATAGCAAATGTTAAAGGAAATTCTTCAGGCTGAAGGGAAATGATAGGACGTGGAAACATCTGTGTGAAGAAAGAGACCAGGAAATGGAAAAGTTGTTAGTAAATTGTAATTCTCACTTCTTATTTGCTTTAAAAGAAGTAGTTAGAGGGGCGCCTGGGGGGCTCAGTCGGTCGAGCGTCCAGCTTCGGCTCAGGTCACGATCTCACAGTTGATGGGTTCGAGCCCCGCGTCTGGCTCTGTGCCGACAGCTCGGGGCCTGGAGCCTGCTTCGGATGCTGTGTCTCCCTCTTTCTCTGCCCCGCCCCTGCTCACACTCTCTCGAAAATAAACCTTAAAAAAAAGTATGAGGGGCGCCTGGGTGGCGCAGTCGGTTAAGCGTCCGACTTCAGCCAGGTCACGATCTCGCGGTCCGTGAGTTCGAGCCCCGCGTCGGGCTCTGGGCTGATGGCTCAGAGCCTGGAGCCTGTTTCCGATTCTGTGTCTCCCTCTCTCTCTGCCCCTCGCCCGTTCATGCTCTGTCTCTCTCTGTCCCAAAAATAAATAAACGTTGAAAAAAAAATTAAAAAAAAGTATGAAAACAAGCAGTTGCGATAAAAATATAAATAATGATGCTAATAACGTTCCAGGCGTGTTTGCTGCGGCAGCGCGTAGCCTAAAATTGCAGTGATTCCGGAGAAGAGTGCCTTAACCCCGCACACGGATGGCAGGCAGCTCGTGGAGCTTTTCATTAAAACAACAGATGGTGGGTTTACAACGTGTATGGAAATAAAACGCATGCCAACGATCGTGCAAGGGGTTCAAGTGCATCTGCTGGAGGTGAGAGCCATGCCCGGCCTCCCAGGTTAGCAGCTGAAGCGCCCCTGGGGGGTGGGTGCTATGCCACCTTGTGCACTGTGACGGACGCTGGGCTCCTGTGGCGGCGGCATGCCTGGCCGAGGACACCAGCCTGCGTTGGCTGCCTCTGCACTCAGGCTGCAGAACCCCGCTGGGAATCCCTCCCGACCCAGATGACTTTGAGAAGTAGAATCTATCTGGAACCGTCTTTGCTTCCTGGGCCTTTTCTGGCCCCTTTCCAAGCGCCGCCCAGCCCTGTCCATGCTCTGTCGTACCCTCCTCCGCTCCCACCGCCGCTGTCCTTGCCGAACTCTAACTGGAGCTCACCTCTCCCTCTCCCACAAGGCAGCCAGAGGCACCCCAGGGGAGGGGCCATGGAGACAGGCTCAGGGTGACTTATGTACTGGGACTGGTGTAAGATCCTGAGGCCTTGGCAAAATGAGGGCAGGGGAGGGGAGTGCTTGAAGATTGAGATGGAATCCCCCTTCGGGAGCTTGGGGAACACTCTTGGACTTGCCCTGTGTTGTTTCTCTTGAGGATCCTACAACTGTCACCTCGTGAACGAGTCAGGGCTGGCCTGATGCAGGATGGACAGCACAAAATGTCAAATCTGTCCTGCCTGAGCCGCTCCCTCCTTCCACCGACCCAGCCAGCACCCCCACCCCTCTGGGGGTCTCCCTTCCCTGCCTCCTCCTTCCCTCCAGATCTGCAGGCGGGTGGGAGTCAGGTGACCCAACTCAGGTGGGAACAGGTGGTTGGCAGGCTGGGACTGCTACCCCATGGATGCCCCCAAGCCTTTCGTCCCAGAGGGAAGAGAGCAGGAAGTTAGTGTGGAAGACAGCTGCCCTCGAGGACCCTGTGGACCCCTGCTGCACGCCAGCATCACTGGCCCTCACTAAACAGCACGACCCTCATACTCTCTGAGCCAGATCTTGCTGGGAGGAGAGTGTTTGGTCTACTGTTCCCTAAATGGTAGCATTTCCACTAGGCTCTCCGGGACCGGGATGGATGAACCTCACCAGACAAACCTGCCAGTGCCGGGCACTGAGCAAACAGCCCATAATCCCCCCTCCTGCCCCAGCAATGCCCAGATTCCAGCTGTGCGGAAAGGCTAGTCCTGGCCAGGGCAGAGGGGAGTGAGGCTCAAAATACAAAAAGCGAGAGCAAGGGGGCTGCTTCCTCCTGCAGAGGCCCAGTTGGGGTGGGAGACGGTTCTGTGCCCCCGCCGCCAGCAGGCAGAAAGCTCAGGGGGCCAGACAGGTCGCAGCAGAGGACTGCAAAAGGAAGCAGCCGTTGTGCAGTGCCTTCCTGCCGCCCACGCCCCCGGAGCCGCCCTTGAACCCAGTCGCCCTGCTCTGGGGCTGCCCAGGCGGCCCGGGGACCCTCCGAAGGCTGCCTCAGCGCCTGCCGGGCGGGGCCTGCTGACCAGGCCACTGCGGGCACGCCCCAGCGTCCAGAGCTAGTGACGGGGTGGCCCAGGCGGCCAGCAGGAGGGATGCCCCGCGGGTCACCCAGTCCCTCCAAAGCTGGGACTGTCGGGACTTGCCGTCAGCGTTCGTGCTCTCTGGGCCGGGCGGGTCCCGAATCCTGACCACTGCCGCTCTTCCGGGCCAGGGCTCCCAGGGGCCCCGAGGACGGGACACAGACACGGCAACGGGTGACGCCCGAGGAGGGGGAGCGGGGCCGCTGGGGGGCGGGGTGCCGCGGAGGGTGAGGGCGCCCTGAGTGTCCCCGGAGGGTCGGGCGGGACGGGCCTGAGCGGCTCCCGCTGGGGGCGCTGCACCGGCCCGCCGATCCCCGGGAACCTGGCGCCCCTCTAGCCCCCCCCCCCCCCCCCGTGGGGCCTGCCGGCCACCCCCCTGCCTGGAATGCAGCTGCCTCCGGACTCCCGTGTCCCTAAGCCCCGGCTCCCGCTCCCTCCACCTCCATCCAGCCCTCGGGGTTGTCTCTGGAACCTTAGCAACCTGCCTCGTCTTGGCCAGGGGCCGGACACCCCCAGGGCAGGGCACCCCCAGGGCAGGGTCTGCGCTGGATTGCCCACTGCCACCCCTGCACCGGCCCCTTCCCCTGGATGGGGTCAGGCAGAGTTCCTGGTGGCAGCGAGCGCCCTCCACCTTCCCGCACCTTAGCGGCCCCCGCAGGCCGCGCCTCCCCGACCCGTCCAGGCACGAAGTGACCTCCGCAGGCTCCCAGTCTCTGGACACCGCACGCTGTCAGGGACACAGTGTCCGCCCTAGCTGCGGACCCCAGGGCTCGCCCACCCCTAGGCCACGGCAGGCTTTATCTCCCTCGGTATGACCTAGAGGGGGCTGGAGGAGGACATAATGGCACCCCAGACTTCCTTGGCCCTCAGAATGTCCTGGGGGCCACCCCTTTCCTCTGGAATGGGACCCGGGGAGGGGATAGGCTGCGGGCCATCCCCTCCCACCCTTTCCACCTTTCCTCCCCACAGGCTCACCCCCGCCCTCTCAGGCTGACTTCTGTCCTCTATAGAGTCAGGAGCCCAGGTCATGGCACTAGGCTTGGCACCGGCCTCCTGTTTTGGTTATTGCTGAAGAGCTGAAAATGTGGACCTGCAATTGTGGTGACCTCGCCCCGCCCCGCCTCACCCCACCTCGCCCCACCTGAGGCGGTGGCCCCCGGAAGCCTCAGGGCAGCCGGGCTCACAGTGGGCCGCCCTTGGTGGTGGCCCTGGGCAGTGTGGCACTGCTCCTCTCGCCCGCCCGTGGATGGCCCCTGCCTGGGTCCTCTGCCCCAGACCCCGTGCCCTGGGGTGGGGGGTGGGGGGGACTGCCTGCAGGGATAGGGAGAGACACAGGCAGGGCTGCAGGAGAGAGAGCCCCTATGTAGGAGCCGTGGGCCTCGCAGCCCCCAACACACAAACGCACACAACACATGCAAACATGTACAGACACAAATACAAATGTACAAGTGATGAGGTTTGGGGGTGACGGTGGGGGGTCCTGAGCCCCCCGCCAAGAAAGAATTCTCGAAGACGTCTTTGGTGCAAA